AAAGATAGCGTTTGACATATACACAATAATACTGCGCTAAAACTGTCTTCGCATTTCTTGAAAAAACATGCATTTTTCGACTATTCGATTATATTATAATTTTATTATTTTAACATTTGAATTTATTTAATCACTTATAATTACTTTTTTGCATTTTTATTAAATCAGAACTTACGCCATCAAATGCGAAAAGAAAGTTGAGCTTATTTAATATAAATATACACGGAAAGGACGATTTTGTTGAAATAAACGGTTTTGTTACACATAAAAATTAGGCCAGATGCAGATTTGAAAATAATTGTTGGACCATCAAAATAATTATATAGAACACCAAGTATGATGATGTGCTGCAAAAAGTGTTCACATTCTAGCAACTATAGCTTGAGCGTCCAATATGATTATTTAGAATTTAGATGACCCAACAGAATTATTATTAAATCTGTATCTAAGTTTTAAATACTTCAATAAAACCATGTGTAAAAAATATATAAACTCCTTGTAAAAATTGTAATTTTTATGGATTTTTAAGACAAATTAGTAAAAACAAATTATTTAATAAATAACGGATATTTATGTAAATATTATATAATTGTAATACTAAACATACTTTATTAAAAAAACAATTAAAAGTCGGCAGGAGTCACGGTGGAGACCTCTGTCAGCCTCTGCACTTTATGCACTAGTGTAGTTTAAACTGCACTTTAACTCCGTATTTTATTTATTATAAATTCATAAAAGTAAAAATGCAAAATCGGGCTCTTTAGCGCACTGCATTATTATATAAAGAGTATATTTAAAAAAATTTACGAATTTATGTAACGTCTTATTTTATGAGAAATCTTGTTACGGATTCGTAATAACAAGATTTCTCATAAAATAAGTTACATAGATTCGTGAATTTTTTTTAATATACTCTTTATATATAATGCAATGCGCGCTAAAGAGCCCGATTTTGCATTTTTGCTTTTATAAATTTATAATAAATAAAATACGGAGTTAAAGTGCAGTTTAAACTGCACTAGTGCATAAAGTGCACCTGAGTTTGCCTGGGTCTCCTGCCGACCCTTAATGAATAGCGTGTTAAATAGCAAACAATATATAGTTATTAATAGTTATTAATTAATATTTAATACACTACTTGACTTATATTTCGTATATAAGTTGTTGATGTAAGTTCTAATGGTCATAAACTGTTCAACGTGCGCAAGAATGTGTATTTTTTTTAATTCGAAAGTGGTGTTACAGACAGTGCATATAAATCTGTTTATTCCATTATTCAAAAATCGATATCGTAGTCAGTCATGAGAAGTCTGTCTGTTCATGATTTATTTGATTATCTCTCCACAGCATTATTTTCTCTAATCTCTCATTGTTAGCAATGCAGATAAGTACCCCATTGACGTTTTAAGAGTCTAAACAAGAGTATAAGATATAGATAAAATACAGTTTTATAATCATGATGAATAATATACAATATACAAACAATATACAAAACGTATATTGTTGCAATAAAAAATATATGTTTATATAAAATACAGAACAAATATATATACATATATACAACAGAAAATGTCTATAATAGAAGTATGTGTATTTGTATAGAAATGTACACACGAACATTTTGTAATTATTAAATTGAATATTGTTTTTTATTTTTTTTTTATTTTCTATTATATACATATAATAAAAAATAATATTTAGTTTAATAATTACAAAATGTTTGTATGCATATTTTTATACAACTATCCATACAAGCATAGACTCACACAATAGTCACTATATAGATAGATAAAGCAATATATATATTTTTTTATAGGTATATCTTACTGTTCCGAACATCTCTAACGAAAAGGTTCCAAATTTTCCGGCCGTCAATCTAAGAGGAATCATCGATCGATATACAATGATCATTAAATCTCTTGCGTCTTTCGCTGATAGATTGTACCATTTGCATTCGTACACGCCGTACGCCATATTGGTGCTCTGAAAATTATTTTTTTTGCATAGGTTGCATTAATGTATATAATTTATTTTACCTCCGTTATAAGTCTTTCAGCTGCGTAGCAATATGTATACAAGTGCGTCAACATACAGGTGATATAAAACGAGAGAAAAAATATTCTGACAATAGGCATTTTCAAATTATCTGTTATTATCTGGAAAAAATATGTTTCAATTGTTGCATGTGACAAAGTAATACGCTGTGCAAATCTAACGCAATATATTATGTTGTTATATAATAAAAAAGTATAATAATTTAATTAATATTCATTCAATTCTACCACTTTATAAAATATACACGGGAAGGAACATGTATAAATGATCTCACATACCGTGAAAATTTGAAAAGTTATAGAACACATCTGAAAAGTAGCGAGTAACACGTTTACAAATAAGACTGTGCTGTAGCAACCGTCGATCATCTTTGCATTCCTTGAAAATTCGTACATTATTTACTTATTATAGTTATAGTTATAGTTATAACATTAAATGTTAATGACTTGTTATTCGAATCTCAATGTACAAATATTAAAAAAGACTTTCAATTTAAATTTTCTATCTTGAATTTATAAGAATTTGTTTTAATTTCACATTTTTTATCATGTTGGTATTTAGATTTGATAATCCCAAGTTTCTTTCCGCCGCTTAAAAGCACGATATATTTTAAAAGAAAAAATATATATATTATACATAAATTAACAAATATTTTTTATAATTACATTATGTATATTATATGTTTCTTTTTGTGATATAAGAGGGTAAAACTTTTTTAAAATTTATTTTAAAAATAATCTACTATCTGAGAATGTTTATAACTTTACATTATCAAGAATATCAAGTAATGCATCAGAAAATTTCCGACGTACCTGATGAGATGCTCATGTCGTACAACGATCGCTGCTAAACCTTCCTTAAATCTCGAGGAAGATATAGATTTGTTAGCTAATTTGTTGATTAGATTGTTAAGTATCGTCCGCAGGTTTATCAACTGTGCGCACACGTGCAGCACGAGTATCGAGACAAAGCTGTCGACGGAGTAGTTAGCAAGGACCGTATATGCGCCGCCGAACATTTGAATCATATATGTGATTTCGTAAGTCGGACTCTTTTGGATGCTTTCCACCCGATAGGCGAGGCTCCGATGAGGCTGGTGTATATTTTTAAAGAATTTCATCAGATAAAGAGAAAGCGAAAATATAATCAAGCCCGTTGCGGATACGCAACATCTAAGAGATAAGTTTCTGCCGCGTCTCGCAATCTTCAACATAGTATTTCGTTCCCAGTTGCTCGTCGAAGTCACCCAATCGGCCATGATCGATCCCATCAACAGTCGAAGTGCTTCCAGGTTGAACACAATATATCAGTTCGAATATAAATTACCAAAACAAGCAAATTTCTTTACATAAAAATTATCGAAAAATCTGGATATTTTGTGCTTAATTAAGGAGGCTATATATCTGATATTTCATATCATGGACAGCAGAAATCAATTTATCCGACATTTACGTTGTCGCGAAAAGTGAACTTACTTTTGCCGTGATACCAGGTAACGAACAATTTGCACACTGCTAACAAGCTGTAATTCGCGGCAGCAAAAGTTTCCACCATTCGAGTCACGTCACCCCAAGCACGGATCACATTCATCATTTGAGGCGCGGATACGTACAGGCTTACAGTACACGTAACGATAATGAATCTTATGCTCGGCCGACGAAAATCACTCAAAGAGATATCGGGATCGGGCCATATGCCAAATATCCATAGCCATTGGCGAGTCAGGGTAAACATGTAATTCAAATCTATAATAAAATAAAATTTTTTTAAGAAATATCACTGCATAATTTAGAATAAACATTACTTTTGACATTATTTTTTAACACTTTTTTCTCGTTTTTTTGCTATGAAGTAATCATCTACTTTATTAATGAATGTAGAAGCTATTTAATTTTTCACTGTATTATAGCACTTATAGAAGAATTTACTTCATTTATATAATTTCTTATATAATTTGTTATAGATTATTATAGAATATAGCTAACACTTCTTTGGGCTTGTGCACATAGCAATTAATAAGTTAAAGGAATAAATAGTGGATAAAGTAAACAAATAATATGTGTGATTTTATCAAGACAAAACTAAAAATATTTTCTGTGATAACGTTTTTTTAATATCGTACTAATTTTATATGCACGGTTATGTCATTTAAACTTCAAACTTCTATTTACAAGATCTCTTTGTGCAAAATTTTGTATTATTATGGCCACGGAAAGTGGCCATATGCTGCTGTAATTATCCTTTAGTTTCCGAGTTGTTAAAACTCTGGAAAATTTCCCTCCAACGTAACTCTTTCACTTGAAACAGAGAACGATTTGTGCACAACCAACCGTATATTTCATGCACCACGTTCAACTTCACTCAAGAACACCGTAAAACCTATCGTCGAAAACGAAATGTTTTTTGCCAGAGTACCCAAAGTTTTATTCCCATTCCCGCAAACTTTCGTGGGCTATCAAAGTTCTAAACTTCTATAGACTCCTTGCAAAAAAATAGGATTGTTTCTTGCAAATTTTTGCAACGATTTATTAAAGCACGTAAAACATTTATTAATTATACTTTTTCTTTTATTTAATAAACAATTGTTAGTTTTATTATATATTTGTTGTGCTCACTTCCTCACTAAATATGCCAATAAATATGTTAAATGAGTGAAAACTAGACACAATTATTGATCATTATGTTTCTATGTGATTATATTTTTAACAGCATATCGCAGTGCAGGGATTTTTTTTACTATTTTCTTTCGATATATATTCTACCTTCGTTGATAGTCATTGATGTTCACAGCGCAAAAATTATCGTTTGACTGACTCGCTCTCTGCGATTATACTAAACCGCCGTGATTTTGCGCTTGCTCAGTGTACAAAGGATTCAACCGCTACCATCTGTGAATACTTGCACAAACTCTTGTATAGAGCAATCGATAGTAACATGCAATTATCATGTCACTGAATCAAATATTTTAAACATTATAAATATTGCTTTTTCTTTTTAATATAGTATTATCTTCTTAATTAAGAAATTAAGTTTTGACGCAGAAATGTTAAATAAATAATTTGTTTTGTTGCACAAAACTTATATTTATCTAGTAAAAATAATATTATAAATAACATATATAGTCTTATTAATCCTCAGTTACGTTTTCGCTACCCGTTACCTCACCAGGGTCTGAGAGACCCCTGTCGTCTTCTCCAGCTTGCATCTTTAAGACAAATGCATCAATTTGACGTCTTTTTTTTTAATCGATACATCTTTTAAGATTTAAAGATCTACAAAACTGTATAAGTTAGATTAATCCAAATTAAAAAATGTAAATGTTATTTAAAAAAAAAAGAAAACTTGTTTTTCTGAAGAAGTGAAAAAATTTGCTTTTTTTTTCAAATTGACGTAGTACTGACTAAAAAAAGATACAAGGGTTTTATAAACGTTTTAAAAACCCTGCACGTTTTAACAACTCTCAGATCCTGGTGAGGTAACTGAGGGTTAACGCAGCACATAGAAAATTTATAATTGTTTCAGCATTATACTTTCTAATTCATCATTGTCAGCAATACAGATAGGTATCCCATTGACGTTTTCACCATCTATATATAGAATAAAAATAAAATATAACTTTCAATTTTTATCATAGGTTATAATAAAAATGATACTATTCTTATACGCATATATAATATATTTAAAAAGCACAATATTCAGCATACAGAGAATGACAAAACAAATCTTATTGACCAATTCTTGGAAATTTTCTCCTGCTTTAAAGCGTCTTCGAGTTTTCTCATATCTTCAACTTTTTCTCTCACAGTTTTAAGTAGCTCTGTTTTAAAGAAAGTCTTTTATTAAAGAATTATTTTATAAACAACACATCGAGTAACAAACAGAATATAATCAAGAGAAGAAATATCTTTGTAATGGTAAGAAAGAAAAAATAAATTGTAATATAAAACAATATGATTAGTTAAAATTGGAAATTAGAAAAATATTGAAAACCAATCACTATCATCAAGATAAATAATGATATTTTATACGAAATAAATCATTTAATACCTAATATAAGGATTTCATTAATTTATTACTTTACCG